GGGGGGGCAGGTCAGCAGGGGCGGGGCGGCGTGTTCTCACACCTGATGGACTGAGGACTGTGACTCACCTGTGCAGGCTTCAGCACCTGGACATCCTCGTTGGAGCCGTAGCCCTTATTGTGCTCTCCGGCGATCACACGGTGGTAGGTCCTGACAGGAGACAGAACAGGGCCCGTTTAACCAGAACCATGAGAAACAGCCTGCTGACTGTTTCAAACGTGATTTAGGTCTAGTTCATTAAAAACATGCTTCATTTTATTATTTTTTAAAGTGTCCATCAGAGATCTGCTGCTTTGTGCTCCTGCTGACCTGACGTTGCAGTGAGCGGCGGTCACCACCCAGTTCTCATTGATCAGAGACCCTCCACAGAAGTGGAAACCGTTGGATTGCTGAGAGCAGAACAGACGATTCAGTTACTGAGGATGGAGAAGAAGCAGCAGAAGCAGCAACCCTGTGTTGCGGCTCACCTGCAGAGACACCTGCCAGGGCCAGGAGTGAGGCACCGCCTCCTCTCCGTTCACGATGCGAGCGTAGCCGGTCACCTCGGGGGGGATGGCCGGAGTGCCGCAGCCTGAGAGGAAAGGAATACTCTGCTGTTGGCATGAGGCTCTGGAACGGTGGCATGACTTTAGTTTAGAAAATATATTTAGCCTGAACCATCAATCTGACGAGAACAAGTCAAAGCGAGCTGCTTGTTGTTGCACAAAGCGGCTGCAGCAACTGACATGAAGTCAGTGCTTCAGTGGTCGTCCCACGCTTGTGGTTTCCACTGAGAGTCAAAGTGAGTCGAGCTTCTTCTCACTTTCATGAGCGACTCTGTCCTGAACTGCTGGATGTTTGCAGACTTTTCAGAACCTCTGAGAGCCGAACGCCTCCAATAAAACCTTACATGTGTTTCTGTTGCTGTCTGAGCTACACGTAGAGTTCCACATTCAAAAAGAAAAACTTCAGAGTTCTGTGTTTAGTGGACATAAATGATCTGTGAAGGTTGTCAGCAGCGTTTTGCCAGAAGAGGAAAGTGTTGCTCTGAGTCTCACCGTAGGCGGCGCTGACGAAGGCGAGGCAGGACACGAACCAGAGGAAGGCCATGGTGCGACGATGATGCTGGCACCGAGTCAAGCTGCTGTTTTAACCCCTGCAGCCGCTGGACCTCAGCCAATGAGAGGCCAGCTGCCAGCTGGTTATCAGTCCGAGGCGGCAGCGGCGTTCTCACGGGTCACATGACCTGACCTGCAGCTCTCCAATTGGCTGAAGAGACTGAAAACATGTTGATCAGAGTTTTATCCAGAATCAGCTTTATGTATGTTCAGCTGAAGGTGAGACTCAGAGTGAGCACTGAGCTGCTGCAGCAGCTCTGAGGTTCTTCATGTTGGTGTCTCAGCTCTACACGTTCATTCACATCAGTAAACTGCAACTTGATGTTCTGCTCAGACATCATCCGTCTGCAGCTTTTTATGTTCACAGAGACACAAGAGGTTTGTGTCTGCTGCAAAGGATTGTGGGTCAAAATTGTGTGAAAAACGTGTTGTCTGCTGAATGTGAAGAAATGCACGTAAAACCTCAGGTGCACACTTCACATGTAACATAAACGGAGTGTTTAAATCCAACCGTGACTGTTTTCTAAACCTCACCGAGCAGCTTTGGTGCCTAAACTTCACCAAACAGAGAGCAGAGAGCAGCGACCGAGAGCTGAAGCCACAGTGAAGGTCAGAAGGTCAAACCAGAGGACGTTCTCACTGCTTCTGCTCCTCAGAGGGACGACGGCCTCATAACAGCTGAAGTCAGTCAAACTTACATGAATTCACCTGAAGCGCCTCGACTCTGAACACAGTGCTGATGTGTGAGCTCTTCAGGGTGTTCACTGTTAAAATCAGGACTCATTTCACACGTTGTGAATTCAACCAAATGTTTTACAGTCATAATAACGCAGACGTCAGTTCTCCTCCCTGCTGGAGCGGCTCTTTGACAACTGAAGGACCGATTTAGGATTCTGCACATTTAACTACACAGCGGTGATGAAACAGGAATACTTTTATAAAACATGTTTCAATGAAGTGTTTGGACGTCCAGCTGCTCTGTGGCTTCCATCTTGTTCTCTCCAACGTCCAGGGTTTCAGGTGTTTCCATGAAGACCACTGAAAACAAACACGGCTTATATATTTAGAAGTTGGGACACTCAGCAGCTGTGTTCATGCTGACGCACTGATAAACTCAGTGAGAACCAAGAACCGCTGCTGTGGGATCACTCGTGAACAAACATGTGACCAGAAACCAAACAACAACCAATCAGAGGACTTTCAGCTTCAGCTCGTGTTAAAACATGAACTTCACATCGAAAGTCAGACGCCTGCAGAGTCACAGAGGGCCTGAGAAGGTCTGCTTCACCTGCAGCTGGGCACCGAGAC